CCGGTGTTGTCTCTGTTTTTGTGGCCGTGTGTTTGTCTCTGTCACTTTAAACTTTTTGCCGAAATCCTTACAAGATACTCAAGACATCACTTCAGCACGTGTGGGGTAATGACGGGTTGTGGGTGGATAACGAATGAGTGCTTTTCCTCTTTCGTTACCTGAATGTTTGTATTTTGATACGCGATTTTCGCTCGTACCTGCAGATGGCTAAGGTGTTCGTCTCTCTCCTTCAAAGCTTGTCGACGTCTTCGGAAGGGGGCGTTAATGTTCCTCTTCTCTGAGCGCGGGGGTTTGCTGTGTTTCTTCGAACCTTTAAAAAAAGGTTAACTTACTACTATGAAATTTTAAATGTTTCGACCTGCCAGTAGCGATAACACACACACGCACGCACGCACGCAACGCAGCCCGCACGCACCACGACACCACACACACTCACCAACCGACGACTCGACGACACACCACACACCACATCACACACACACACACACCGACACACACACACCACACGCACGCACGCACGCACGCACGCACGCGCGCGCGCGCGCTTGCATATGTATATAACCGAGAACGAGAGGCGAGAGAAAGAGAGAGAGAGAGGGAGGGAGAGAGAGAGAGAGAGAGAGAGAGAGAGAGAGACAGTGGTTGGTATGACGTCGTATGCGTCACGTGACTCACGCGCATGATCGTACATCGATACTAAGAAATGTCGTCATCGATCTTTGCGTAGCTTCCTCGTGATGATGTTACGCTGACACCTGACGAGGATGCGTTACTCGCATGCAACCACTGCTGTGTTGTTGGGCGTCGCGTAAACTGACTTCGACGTAACCTCGTGCGTCGTAGGTATGCGATCGCCTAGACGTTTTACTTACTTACCTTTCTTATTGACTGCCGGGGGGATAATGAATTGCAGGGGCTTAGCGTACGGGCTGTGTTGATTCTTGGCAGCGCGCTGCATGTCTTTGAAGTGTCTCTCTAACTGTCTGTCGGTAAGGCCGATCAGCCTCGCCCCGGCGGCGTAGTGGCTCAGTACATGCGGTACCTAGACGTAAACGAATGCGGTAACAGCAGCGAAGAGAGCCGGGGATTACTTATCGGTATAACGACATGTTTTTTTTCACGAATCTTGCGCCGTTATGGTTAGAGTATGCGTGCCATTCAGAACGCAACCGATTATATAATTGGTAGCAAGCAGATCTCTCGGAGCTAGCGTTGTTTCGGTACGGCTGCGGGACATATAGAGCCGCACTGTCTACGTCATCAATCTGTTCGAGGTTAATTAGTATGTTGCCATCAGTTTCCGACTCAGGAGATTTTTACAGCAACCTTCCATATATTTCCAGAGGGCGCCCACGATTACACATGAATGAAGAGAGAACTTCGCCATCTAGCCAAGCCGTCACTACTGCACACAACCACGCACGCACGCACGCACGCGCACGCATACACACACGCGCGCGCGCACGCACGCACGTACGCACGCACGCACGCACACGCACGCACGCACGCACGCACGCACGCACGCACGCACACACACACACACACACACACACACACACACACACACACTAATACACGCACGCACGTATGCAGGCAGTCACGCGCACTCGAGCACCACGAATACGGTAGCTATAACTAGTACTATTAATTATTAGTGATAACATCTCATACCAGTATAAAACATCGTGAAATTAACAGTATAAAATGATAAACAAATAAATAAGAAATAATATATAATTAGAAGTAGGACATGACTGCATGACTGTTAGTCTGCGGACACAACTTCTGTTCTCTTACCTGACGCGACTTGCTGGCGTAGAAACGCTCTATCTCTCCTAGTGAGTTCTTAATGGCGAATTTTGTGAGCGCCGAGAAAAAGAGACTTTGTCTGCGTGATATACGTGTATTGTCTTTATCTTCAGTTTCTGCAATTATCAATAATTATCGACGAATCGGTTATAAGAAATACTTTTACACACGCGCGCGCGCGCACGCACACATTACCAAAACGTTCAGTTAAGATCTCGCGGTATATTAATATATGAAAGTATATACTGTATATATATACCAGCACTATAATAAGTTAATAACGCTCTCCAGCCGTTCGTGAATTGCGTGTCAATAACTTTAAATGTTAATATATATATATACAGGCCTAATTATATTGTCGATCTGATGTCACATGAACATGTTCGTATATATCCGCTTTGTGTTTGAACATAAGTGGCAATGATTACCGGCTGTAGAATGTGAAAATATCTTGTCTGTATTAGCCATTGCGTAGAGAAACTCTTCAAAGTCGATCTCGCCGTTGCCATCCTTGTCTAACTCTTGAAGTGCATAGTCAACCTCTTCTTTCGATAGCGTTATGTCGAGATCCTGCATGACTGAAAATAGTTCGTCTGCGTTGATCGTTCCTCCGCCATCTTCATCAAGAAGCTCGAACACCTCCTGTTGGATAGATTAGAGTGCAGAAATGAGCAATCGATGTCGAGTTGTGCCCCTGTCAATTACTTATTACTTGTATATATAGGAATAGTAGCCATGGTGCGTACTGGTGAAATATGAACGAGTTTCTTAAAACAAGGCATTGCCGAAGATTTTTCCATAACTTCAATTAATTTTGTCTACGACACTTAAACAACTTTTGAAACTATTAGTACCCTGAAGGCACATATTTGTGCTTCTGTCAGGTCTTGGTACATCTCTGGCATGTTGACCCCATTCTTTGCGTTCTTACCATTATCTGAAAGTGATGCAATTGACACATCATAAAACTGCTACATGTAATAATCTAGTGTGTGATATAAATGTCTGGGTTTCTACTTGTAAATATGAAATGACGTATACGTGAAAACATTGTATTCGTGGTCACTCGAGTTTTAAAACAATGCTGTTCCGTTGCGTTCGATGACCGCGCTTGTTTATTTTACATGGGTTAGTTATTTTCCTAAATGAATTGATATAAAATGTATGTTAAAAATAATGCGTTTTCGGTAAAAAAAAAAAAACAGAAAAGTTGAGCACGCAAGTGATATTTTTGCGATTACTCTCCTAAATCCTCCACACAGCTCAATAGTCAGAAAAGTACATAGTTCTTGTTTTCATTCATTCACTTTAAAAATATTTCATTGATCATTGTGCATTAGATTAACTTTGCTAAGTACAGGTTTCTTCGAAACACGTTGACTCTTATTAGAACCATGAAATGATTTTACGTCCTGCCAATGTGCCATGCTCTTATAACATGCACGTACTGTCGTCTGCACGTTGATGGCTCCCATTAGTAGGATCAGCACCTTGGAAATTACCAGGAGCAGAAACAGCACGATCATGATCTTGGTTGTTGCCACTTGCGTGCTCTACCAGTGTTACCTGAAAGATGAGAACAATATGCGCAACAACTACTATACGTTCACTTCGTAACTACGTATTTACCACTGCGTATTTGACCTCGTCATAGCAGACAAACCTGTTAAAAGAACGTGAATTGCCATTTTTGGTGCTGTGTCTTATATTCCCTATTGGGGGGTCAGTTGCAACCCCAACCCGCCTATAGATCCGCCATTGGATTCCCTGACAATATACTTAGTAGCGCTCCTGCAGTAGCGCGCATGCCCCCTTTCCTTCTGGCGCCGCCCCAGTCGCCCACCGATGATTGGCGAACCCAGCTTTTAAGCCGTTTCAGCCGCCAACTTACGCTGATAGGGTCTATGTCCCCCAGGGTACTGCCGGAACGCACCCTGGGTACGGTCCGGTATACCGGAACGTACCCTGGTACTAACTATACTACTATCGAATATGCCGGACCGTACCTCGCCTACTCCACTAACGAGTCTAGGGAGTCGCCTACGCCTACTCCCTAACCCTAACTCTAACCCTAACCCTAACCCTAACCATATCCGCTAGATAGTTACCAGGGTATGTTCCGGTATACCGGACCGTACCCAGGGTACGTTCCGGCAGTACCCTGGGGGACATAGACCCTATGAGCCCAACTTACAGCACATATTGCAGTATTTAGCAGCATGAGCAAACAGTTTGTCTGCGCACACTCCAGCGGCATTTAAATTTTGCAATAACTACACAGAAACCAATCAATTAAGAACCCAATGTAGACATGCAAGTTCTAAATTTGTCATGTTTGAGCATAAGTACAGTATAGCTTGTGATCGTCGTATTTAATCAACAATTGTGTATAATATGCCGATAGCTTTATTCATTATGAAGTATTTCAAATATTCAAGTATTCAATTATTTAATGGATGTAGGACATATATATATATATATATGCTTACTGGATAGAAACATATATATTATATATTTACTACTAATAATTGTTATATATATATATATTATAATATATATATTATAATATATATATATTATATATATATATTATATATATTATATATATATAAGGACATGTTTAGGCTACATCGAATTTCAATTTGCATCTATTAAAATGTATTTTACTTACGTTTCCTTTCTTTTTCGCATTTCCATCCGGCTTTTTCTTTTTGAGCGCGGATTTCATTATTCCGCGTTATAGTGTAACACGTTAAATACGCATAAAGTACTACATATCTGATATATTGCACATAATTTTAGCGCCAAATGTTTACATATTCAATAGCACGTGCTTCATACATTCTGCATACATGACAACGCGCGTAAGCAACAGTTACTACGAAACCCCAACAATGCTACACATATAGTAAAACAAGAGGCGCTAACACTGCGTTGGTAAGCATTTAGTATTATTTTTACAATATTTGTTTGTCCCTTTTTAGATAAATAAGACGGTTAGGCATAATGTAACTACATGTTTGATAATTACATCATACGTGGTTTATTTTAATATTGGAAAATATTTAAATTGATGTGACCCGGAACGTGTTTCTGTCTGAGCTCAGCTGCCTGGGAAGGTCAACATTGGTTACTATCAGTAGGCCCTAGCCTATCAACTTATCGCCATTTATGGCAAACCACCGCGGCGCTAGTATCACAGTGAAAGTCACGGGGATTCATGGAGCGTTAGCTGACTTATGTGACATATATATTCTGTTTAAGACTGTTATTGAAATTCCGAAAACCTCGCAAATATGTTTTTGACTGCAACGGTTTTAATAAATTCCTGTCGGATTATTGTGCCTGCAGGAATATTGTTTTCTGTTTCGCCCAGTTATTACATCGTGTGGCTTGCGTTCCGTTCACTAAGCGTTGCGTTGCCATCAAAAGTCTTCAAGAAAGGGGACGAGTTTTTGTGGTCGACATATCAACGAGTTGTTTTGTTCTTTTTTGAAACCCTAACAGGGGCAAACGTAAGGAAACATATGTATACATTTAAGGAGCACCACATTAGACTTTGTTTTTACATCTACAGTGTCAGTACTCAGTAGTTCAACTAGGTGCGGTGGCTTATTAATCTTGGTTCGTTAAACATTGGCTCATCCTTTACTATAAATAAAACGCAGTGGCTACGCGTTCGGAACCGGTCGCCTATAGCCTCTAGGCTACGCGTCCGGACATCCACTCACACAGTGATCGCGCGACTCGCGTACACGCATGATTACGTAACGGGACGCTCTGCTGCCGTCTATCCTTTCATCCGTCTTCTCTTGCTCTCTCTCTCTCTCACACACACACGCACAGCTCTCTCTCTCTCGCTCTGTCTCTCATTCTCTCTCTCACACACACACCTCTCTGAGGCGCTCTCTCTCTCTCACGCATACACACACACATACACATTCCCATTCCCCCTCTCTCTCTCTCTCACACACACACACACGGCAATCAGCAGAGCGTCCCATTGCGCAATCATGCGTGTACGTGTCGCAAGCTCACTGTGTGAGATGGATGTCCGGACGCGTAGCCTAGTAGCTCCTCGTCCGGAACCGGTCGTGTAGCCACGGCTTAAATAAAAACCTCTTCTAAATTGTTTCCCTATCGCTAACCCTAATGTTTAGATATAACCTAAATCGGGTATCATACCCCTGACAGCACACACAGCACAGTAGCAGCAGCTGGAGCATTGAAGTTAGGCAGTGGATATTTAACCGTATACGGCAGAGTTTCCACTTCCGCTATTTTACCGTACACCACATTTGATTGGCTAGTATGTTTATGACATCATCCACATTACGTTCGAATCCCATAAGGTTTAGCTATCTAGAAAACTTAGGTTCAATTCCCATTTATTTCTACACATTTGTAGCCCCGTTTGATCATAGAAGCTATTTTCCATGAATCACGTTTCCAATACGAAACCTTTTGAACACATTCATAATACTTATACTAACATACATGTATACATTGATACACATACATAATTATACTAGCCAATCAGAAGTACTGTACAGTAAAATAGCGGAAGTGGATACTCTGCCGTATACGGTTAAATATCCACTGCGTTGAAGTTACTGGGTGCCAAGTATCCCTTTACTTCATCTGCAGTACAGGGCTAAACAACCAATGGTGATTGGAAACGATAGTGAATCTTTGCAATATAGCATGCTAACGCTGATAGGGTCTATGTCTCCCTGGGTACTGCCGGAACGTACCCTGGTAACTATCTGATATGTTTAGGGTTAGCAGGGTTCTCCCCCGGATGAAATTGAAACAGGGGGAGGGGAGGGGGGGGGAACTACTTCCCGGTGGGCATATATGTTTCCATGAAACAGAGTATCCGCGTGATGTCAGTGTACGTCAGTTTGACGTCAGTGGCTATCTACCACCATAGATAGTGTTTGGTACTATAACACGCGTAGATAAGATAACCGAGTCGGTTTATTGTTAGTGTTAGGGTCAGGTTTTTTGCATCATTCCTTGATATACGAAAAGTCTGATGCGGAAGTTGATATGCGTAGAATGGAATATGACCATGCGCAACCACCAGCACCATCATCACGCTAGGCTGTATGCATTCAACTTCGGAGATAGCCGAGTTCGTGCGTGACGCCAGTGTACGTCACGCGGATACTCTGGTTCATGGAAACATATGCCGACCTCGATTCCCGCGCTTTCAAACTTTTATTGTGGTGGAATTTAATCGGGCGGAAGTAATTTAAACGTGGCGCAACGATTGAAATGGGGGGGGGAGTTTTCCCAAACGGGGCGGGCGCGCCCGGTTTGCGCAACGTAGGGAGGGGCCTGGGTTAGGGAGTAGGCGTAGGCGACTCCCTAGACTTGTTAGTGGAGTAGGCGAGGTACGGTCCGGCATATTAGATAGTACCACTACCAGGGTACGTTTCGGCAGTACCCAGGGAGACATAGACCCTGGCAGCCATGCTAACCTGTTGTAACTCACAAAATTATAAAAAATATGCTAGCCAGCAAAATAAATGTCCTGATTTTAGCCTGCTAACTTGACTCTCCGTAATTTGGCCAAATTGGGCTGCATGTCAATTGCAAACAAACCAAAATTACAAATGTGCCTATGCCTGGATTTAGTAGTGATGGCGTTAGTGAGCTGGCATCCGTTGGTCTATATATTGTTTTAAAGATTTTATCTCGTTTTCCATCATTGGTTATATAGCCCTGTAGCAGAAGCGAAAGGCTCCGAAGACTGCTGTACAGCCCCTTGTAGCTTTACTCTTTACCATAACCCCAGCTAAGTCCGCCAGTTATTTAATGTTGAAGGTGTGTTGAATATTATACTGTAACTATAATTTAATTCGAAACTATTGTAGTGTTGTTCTTTCACTGTCTAACCACCATGTCTTGGTACTTAGGTTATCTGTTTTTTTAAGAAAACTTGAACATCAACAATACAAACATCTTTCAGTATTTTTTTTCTGCACAACAAACTCAAATGATATCAGTGTCAGTGCTCAATTTTAAGGTTTTTTTTGGGGTTGTCCGGAGGACAACCAAGAGAGTAGCATATGGTTGTCCCTTAAGAGTTTTGGTTGTCCGGATATTATTTAAACATGTGCTGCATGCGCTTTGCTCACGTGATGCTCAGTGCTGTAAGGCAAAAGGCCTAATCATGTACATTTTGTACGTATTGCTGTGACAGCAGACATGGCCATTCGCATTGTTTCACTCATTATATAAAGAGAATAAAATATTGGTAATGTGGTAAATCATGCTGGGATCAATGACGTATAATAATAGTAATTAAAAGTGGCATGAAATTTATTTCATAACATTTACATTAACACTGTGTCAAGTCACAGATGAGCAAATATTGAAAAATTAACACAAAACATTGTGTTGTTAAAGGGAGAGTTTACTCTAGCTTCTAGGGTTATTTTCAGCTAATTTAGGTTATAATTACGCTACATAAAATGTTTCATGGTTCAATCACCTTTAGAAATATTATTAAAAAATGTTTTAAAACTTTCGACTACAGTTTGATTACAACGACGGGGGCGCCACTCAAAGCGCACGATCTGATAAGTTGCGCAAAACCACTTTCCAGCCAAGGGCTACAGACCGAGGGTGTTTCTTATTTATTCATTTAAAAGCCCAAAAGAATTGTAATATCTTTATAAACGACATATAGTTTCAGTTATAATATGGATAAATTTGCCCTAAAATGAATATCGTTCGGTTAAATAGCATTTAGGTATAAATATAATTTCACCTTTGTGATTAGCTCTCGGTCTGTAACGTGCAAAATATATTGGGAAATGCGCAACTTTTTCAGGGTGGCAGCACGGTCGCGGGTGTCAATGGAGCCGTTCAAATTTTGTAGCGTTGATGTATAATTAATTATAACAATTAAATTAGGTATCTGGTAACAAGTACGTGTGGGTATAGACGATTTTTTATACAGTAAGTACAGTTGTATGCAGTAAAATCCTGGAGTCTATAGTATCCCTTTAAATTTAGGACCATGGGTATATCCATTTATAACCTATGTGTAAACCCCCAACCAAAACTGCATGCAGCGCCCCTTCGTACAACTCAGGATACCACTGCCACAAGGCTGGTACTATTTTTCAAGTGGGCGGAGCTCCGAATTAATCTAGCGAATGGCAATCCAATAACCGCGTATGATTTGAAAGTAGTAAATGTGCACACAATCCGCGCACTATTTCGTATCACTATTTTTTCAAATTTTTCATAAAATAATGGTCGGATTTTTAATATCTATGCAACGTTTAATAGTACAAATCTTATTACATAGGATACGAGTATACTGGCCGCTGTAAAACTTGTAAAAAAGCGTTCGAAATTCTCACAGAAATCTACTTGTGGCAGTGGTGAATTGAGCCAGAGCGAGAGCACCATCTGTCGTGGAGTTTGCCCCCAACCTAGAACGGCCAACCAAAGTATGGGCAGTCTGGGGCATATCAGAAAACTAGTATATATAGAAGATATTTTAGATGAAGCTAGAATCCTACTGTAAATTCTTGCTATAGCAGGGTGCGAAATCAACGCGAGTCCGGAGTCAAATACTCCCTGATTTACTGTCGGACTCCCTGATTTGACATATGCAGGAGTCCGTATGACTCCCTGAAAATTCTGCTATACTAACTACAGTTCGACCTCGTTTATCCGGCCACGTCGGGACCGGCACCCATCCGGATATGTGATTTGGCCGGATATGCGATTTATGCTCAAACAGCTCATTTCTATGCAGTTCAGTAGGGTTTATGCATGTGATAGCAGGGCTCAATTTTAACAGTCGTCCGGTAGTCCGTGACGACTGGATTTTCTCTCGGGCAACTACAAATTGCTGCCGTGGTTGTTCGGTGTCCAACCTCTACAAACATTTTATATTCATAATGCGCGCGTTCATTTTACATACGGCCAGGGTTGCACAATACGCTGCAAACGTACATGTCTAGACGCATTTTTGTCTGGCTTGCTTGATACAAAGTATAACATCACGTGTTTAACAACACAATGTTTCGTGTTAATTTTCAATTTTTACTCATCTGTGACTTGACACAGTGTTAGTAATGTTTGTAATGTTAGTAGTGTTAGTTAACTTAATGTAAATGTTATGAAATAAATTTCATGCAACTTTGAATTACTATTATTATACGTCATTGATCCCAGCATCATTTACCACATTACCAATATTTTATTATCTTCATATAATGAGTGAAACAATGCGAATGGCCATGTCTGCTGTCACTGCAATACGTACAAAATCTACATGATTAGGCCTTTTGCTTTACAGCACTGAGCATAACGTGAGCAGAGCGCATGCAGCACATGTTTAAATAATATCCGGACAACCAAAACTCTTGAGGGACAACCATATGCTACTCTCTTGGTTGTCCTCCGGACAACCCAAAAAAAACCTTAAAATTGAGGACTGGATAGCATACGAGTGGAATGATGCAATCGCTGTGTGAGCAGCGCTCGATACATGTACAAGCGCATCGCATGTTTATGTGTTCATGTTTTGTGCATGTGATAGCTTTATATTTATACATGTACAATTGTACATGTACATGGGCATTTGCTCTTACAGTAAGTGTTTGTTTACATCAATTCAAATTATTTTTTATCAATGTGTATATTGCGCGAGAATCATTGGTACATGATTTGATGTACAGCGAGATTTTTAGGTGGAAATTAATGAAAAAACAGAGAACATACACTGCGAGATCGCGGCCAGTTTCCGGATAACTGGTGGCTGGATAAACTAGGTCGAACTGTAGTTCGTTCCAGAGCACGGCCTCGCGGAATTGCCGTATTTTTTCAGCAAATGCCTAAAGAAAATTTGGCAGACGTGCAACCGCATGAATCTTCAAAATAAGCACATACGTTATTGTTAATATCTTTAGTTTTGAACTTCAGACTGCGGACTCCCTCTTTTTCAGGGCAGGGACTCCCTTGTCCCTTATCCCTTGTCCCTTGTCCCTTGTCCCTTGTCCCTTGGGGGGCAGGGGTTGGACTCCCTTGTTCAAAAGTCAATTTCTACCCCTGCTATAGTGTGTATGCAAAACTACCATGGTTTCAAAACATTGAAATCCCTAGCTTTTGCTTTGCCAAGGAAATGAGCTGTTATTTTAAAATGCCTTTTTACAGATTCATATTGGTGGAGATTTGGATGTGCTGTTTGGCAGTGCTAAAAATGCCATCTATATTTCAAATCATCAGTCTGACTGTAAGTATTTGTCAACTTTTGACATTGTACATACACTGCCTCTCTCACAAGTTGGAGAATATGCAAACATTAGATATTAGGTGCATACCAATGTTGTTTTAAACTACTGTAGTTAATAACTTCCACAAAATGCTGGACTCAAAGTAATAATTCAGTTAATTTAGTTTACACAGTTTTGGTATTACTCATCTAAACTATGAAACTGCTTGCAATGTGGGAAATCTTTGGGGTTAGAAAGTTATCCATCTATGTACACCTGCCTGTGACTCAACAAACACAGTCGTCACTGGACATCATTTAAAGTTTACTTATCTCTAAGTTGCTGCTTTGTAATTGCTGGTAGTAGTCACAGATTAAAAACTTATGGTAGTTGTTATAGAATGCTTTATTTGTTTCGTGAGTGTCGTGCAAGCATTATTACTTGTCGTAATTTTGCAGTGGATTGGATCGTCTCAGACATGCTGGCAATACGACAAGGGTGCCTGGGAAGTATTCGATACATTCTGAAAAACGAATTGAAGATGGTACCTCTCTATGGGAATTGCTTCTATGAGGTGAGTATAGGATAGGCTTAAACTCCAGTATGAAACGTGATGGAACCACCCCTAAAGTTATAGAAATTAGTTAGCGATAGTATCTGTGAATTGTCTCAGCCTTCTGCCTGTGGTGTTCAAAAATTGACGAGATATTTTGCAGTAATAATCCCCTACCCAAAAGTTGTGCTTCCAATAATTTATAATACTGCTCATCATTTTTAGTCATGCTAGATGCTAAATCATATTTCCAACTCCTAATCATACAACTAAAGCGACAAACGAAAAGACCAGTTAGATTAGACGTAGGTGCGTGGTAGTCTCTTCATGCTTACTTGATCCTATATAATATGTCTTGCAGCATGGATGTGTCTATGTGAAGAGGAGCCGTGGTCAGTTTAACCAGGAGAGGATGCTTATGCACCTTGAAGCAATGAAGAAAAGAGGAAATCCAGTGAGTATTATTTGTACATCGTCCATTGGTAAAGTGCCGTCTTTAGTTGTTCAAAACCCTGAGACTAAGTTTGCGACACTGAGCCGACATATATGTCATTTTTGTCAGTACATACTCTAACTAATGTCATCATTAATACAATTTATTTCATATGTATTCCTAATCGACCTGTCATATGTCATTATGCTGTTGTCAACTTGTGATAGAGAGTTTGTGGACGTGTGTAAAGTGTTGTCTGGATTTCAGGGCTGGCTCATAATCTTTCCAGAAGGGACCAGATATGATCCTCTGAAGACATCCAGCATAGAAAAAAGTGAAAAACATGCCAAAGAAATAGGTAGTTGTTTTGTACAGCATGAATTTTATAAAGTGGTGAAAGGCAGCTGTTACTACACTCCCTCAACAGTCAGTTTGTGCTCATTAACATTAATTAAACACGTGATTTTTTTTAAAACTTTGTCAGTATTAATACTGTAGATCACATTTTTCAGTGGTAATTGCCTTGGCAACATTACGTGCATAACACCCCGTTATTTACATTACGTACCTGGTCCATCGCTACATTTTTCATTGTTCAACCTCCTGTCTATTTGGTCGTCTGCTGTGATGCACGCAGGCCTTTACTGTCAGCCATCTCATTTATTATTGTCTGCTGTGATGCACGCAGGCCTTTACTGTCAGCCATCTCATTTATTATCGTCTGCTGTGATGCACGCAGGCCTTTACTGTCAGCCATCTCATTTATTATCGTCTGCTGTGATGCACGCAGGCCTTTACTGGTCAGCCATCTCATTATTATCTGTCTGCCTTGATGCACGCAGGCCCTTTACTGTCATCCATCTCATTTATTTATCGTTCGCTGTGATGCAGCGCAGGCCTTTACTGTCAGCCATCTCATTTATTTATCGTCTGCTGTGATGCACGCAGGCCTTTACTGTCAGCCATCTCACTTTATTATTGTTCTGCTGTGATGCAACGCCAGGCTTTTACTGTCAGCCATCTCATTTTTGTATCGGTCTGCTGTGAGGTGATGCACGCAGGCCTTTACTGTCAGCCATCTCATTTATTATCGTCTGCTGTGATGCACGCAGGCCTTTACTGTCAGCCATCTCATTTATTATCGTCTGCTGTGACGCACGCAGGCTTACCTGTGCTCAGACATCACCTGACGCCGCGAGCGCGGGCGACGCAGCTGAGTGTACAGACGCTGCGGGACGTCATTGACGACATCTATGATGTCACGATCGTCTACGGCGACACGTGGGATGCGCAGAATGGTCGCCGCCGACCCGCCATCAACATGTTCAGTAAGATTTGGGCGTGCGTGAGGGAGGACTCTGATGTGGAGACTACGGTGTTCACTGTAGCGAGACCAGGGTTTGACTATTCCTACTAAATCGCTAGCCAGTGGTTGGTACTGGATTGTAAATTATGGCAGCCTGCGGGCTAGTACTGTATCTGAATCTGACTAATGCACAGAATCACAGTGGCACACAAGCGTTATCTACCACGTGCTTTGACTTTTAAATTAATATTTATTGGTGTAGTAGATTTGGAGGATGGGTAAAGGACTTACGTACTAGGTAACTAGCCAGACTGGCTAGTGAAAACACATCTAAACTTCTAACCCTGAGTAACCCAAATAAAATTTTTCTGCAGATGAAAAATTGTGGGTATTCACCCAGAGAAAATGCAAATTCAGTGAGATTTTTTGTGACAGTTGCTTATGCGTATCTGGGTAATTTCATGAATTCTGAGTCGGCTCGTCAGAATTTTCATCATCGTTCTTGTTGGCGCTAGGTTTCACCGTAAAGCCGGTGGACGTCTACATACACTTCAGGCGCATCGATGTACGAGACGTGCCAAACAATGAGGACGGTATCAAGCACTGGCTACACCAGCTGTTTGTGGAGAAGGACAGGTATGCACTCATCATCAATCTATGTTGGGGAGGGGGTATAAGAAAGCAACGGCAGGCCCGGGCAACACTGAGTGTCATCGGAATGGTTAAAATCATTTAAGGTTATAATGACCGTCCTAGCGAACCAGCCTAACGTTGCTTATGCCACCTTATATTATAACACATTTACAGTTTAGCTAGAGAATGGTACACCAGTGCATGTTACTGTTTATTCCCTACGCGTCTGTACCGAATTTTTCACATCTAATCACTGAGCCTAATGTCCTTGATTGCCCAACTTAAAAAACTACCCTTTCGTATTACCGTAGAGTCATTTCCGGGATACACCTGTTGTTAAATACGAGGAAGGTATTACCATAGAAACGGTGTGGGTCGTATCACCGTAGCTTGAGCGTTGTAACACACATCTCTCTCTCTCTCTCTCTCGCTCGCACTGACAGGTTTGTCTCCGGCTACTACTCGACACGCGATGACGAACAGCAGTTATTCCTAAAGCAGTTCCGCCGCAGCCAGCTGCCGTGGCAGAGCACGGTGCCGGCGCTCGTCGCGTGGGTGGGCCTGACGGCCACCGCACTGCTCACGCCGCTGGGCCGCACCGTGTACGTGTGGGGCGCGCTCGGCGGCACCATCATCGGCTACAGCCTGCTGCTGATACGCAAGGTGTCGTAGAGATTCGACGACGCGACGCCAACTGGGGGGAAGGGGAGTTGTTCGTCTTTCATAATTCCTTCTTTAACGTGCATTTTTGCCAGCATGGATTCGGCGCGGGTCGTAGGGTTGCGCCGCCGGTTGTTTGCTCATCTGCGACGCGCTCTGGTCGGGGATTAGGAAACGCGTCGTCAAACATAGGAGGGTGGTGCCGAGGGATGCTACTGCGATAATACTAACAGACAATAAAGCATTTACTAATTATTGTTTTTAAATTTACGGCATAATCATCGGTAAACTAGCGAAAATACCAATTACCTAAGTATGTATACAGATTGCCGTGTAGTGGTGTTGTGGTGTATCCGTTTGTGTTATCGCTTGGTTACTTGGCTGTTATACGCAGCCTTGTTGCGTTAACTGTTTTAAGCTCCATGTGTGTGTGCTTGGTCAGATGCTTTTAAAGGATAGCTTTTAGGCTCCCTGCAATCCATTGAAATTGAGTTGCGAGTTTTTGTGATGAACCATTACATGTATTGTAACAGGATGGCGGGTGTGTTAAATGGCCGCGTGAAAGCAAATGAAAAGCTCAGGCTTTGTTATTGTGCCAAAGAGTGTTGAGAGAGTTGTTTCGTGTGAGGTATGGAGGGTGAGTACTGTATTTAAGTGCTCCATTATTTCTTCTAAAGCCGGTGAGTGAAAGAAACTGTTTAAAATGGCAAAGGAGTTTTTCAGATAAGTAGCTTCTGCGGTGATCATGCATCATGCATTTATGAATTGTAGTCAGCTGGCAGTCGGGTATGCAATAAGTTAATTATCATATGCTGTTAACCTAGAAATTCATTGGTGAACATGCATAGACCGCGTTTCGGTTGCCTGAGCATCCAAGGGACAAGCAATCCAGGGGGACTGTTGTCAGAACTACAATTAGTCCTAATTTTGGTTTAGATTTTTTAGTTTTTCTTCTAGTCTTACTCCTTGCTCTGTGACCGTTGTCAAAAATATCCGCTTTATTATGACTGGTATCGTGATGCTATTCTTAAGTTTTATCATGGTCCTAATTTAATCGTAACAGAATCTGGGACCATTCTGACAATGCCCCCCCCCCAAGTAATTATAAACATTACAATCTAAATGTTGGACATTGTTTACAGGCATTCCATATTACGTACAGAGATTATTCCATGACTTCCTAATTGTGCGATGGCAGTATAGCTATTTTTTGTGTTTGCACTAAGATATATACAGTGCTATGTGCCAATGCTATGTAGTGTGCAGTACCACGTGTATGTGTAGTGTCCAGTGACATGTAGCTGTGTGACTAATCTAGTCCTCAAATCTTACGTAAATCTTCGATCTGACAAGTGAATGCTCGCTCACATTTAGGTGCAGCGTCGAGAAATGTGTTGCACGCAGTGCATGGTTGGCACACGCACAGCCCTAAGTGACATACACCTACTGCATTATAAAGTCTCTTCTATATAAAGACATGAATAAGGGAATGTGTGAAGAAAAACATACCGTGCGGGTGTCTGTATGTATATAAAGATGTTCGTTGATAATTACAGTTTGCCTACTGCACAAATATGTCTGATGTTATACTTAGTACGTATTCATACTTTATTTGACTACGCATTAAAAACGATCTCGTGCATGTTGGCACCTGGGTATGGATAGTGAGATTTCGGAGCAGTTGGCGTAGCACAAAGTTGGAGGTATATACTGAATTGGTGATATAGTATAATAATATAGGTGAACTGGCCAAATTCACTCATGCTAACTGTTGTGTCCAGCAACCGATCACTTGACACAGTGCCATGTAATTGCATTAGTCTGACAGAAATGCAGGCGTGGCAGGAATACGAGTAGTTGTGTGCTTTATATTTTAGCAGGAAAGCCGTGTGCTATTGTTTTAATGCATTTTTTATCAATGGTTATTTAGTATTAGACTGTTTGCGATTGTTTAGGCAAGTCGTAAAGATTAGACCTGCGGTGGTAATTCTGCAGAAACAGCACCCACAGAAGCTTGTATCAATATATATATATATTATATAAATATATACTCGAGTATGTCAAATTATTCCTAGCCATGCCCGGCCTTCGTTGCATTGATACAGTAAAAACCCGCGTATAAGAACATAGATTTTTCCAAGTTAGCCTCAACATGTTCTTATATAAATGGTGCTTACTGAAAAATTAGGCTCAAAAGGTTCTTAAATAGGTTCTTAATTGTTTCTACTTTTAATATGTACTAGCTGAAACCCGCGCTACGCGCGGGCTTTGTGACTGTGATGCATGTGTTACCAGTACAGTAGTGTTATGTGTAAGGTGTTATATGGAGAGTTTAGTTGTTGCACATGTTTTTTTTTTTATGGTTGAGATGTCAATACAAATACATGTACAATGATGCTTACACGTAACACATTAACCATTTGTTTGGCAAGTACTGTGTCTCAATAACAATGCCAGGGTGCTGGCATTGTTATTGTTGAGCATTGGCATTGGCATTGTTATTGCATCGATATTGTTGAGCTCGTCTTTTTTATTTTACCTGTGTTTCTTTTTAAGTCTTCATCTGCATGGAAAATTAAGAACCTACTTTCAAATCTTAGCCTAAAACAGGTTCTTATGTAAAGGGGTCTAAATGGGAAATTTTAGCCTAACATGTTCTTAAAATCTATGTTCTTATACGCCGGTTTTTACTGTAGTATTATTAGGTGTATTGTGTTGAGGTATGCTAAACACTGGTTAAATTCTAGTTTTAATTTGAACAATTATTTCTGAATATATGATCAAGGGTGAATTATGACAGATGTGTCATTAATCACCCCTGATATGATGTACAAGTTCTAAGTACAAGTAATGTTTTCCATTTTAGGTATTACATGATGGATATACAAGTTGTATTGCTGCTGTCATTTCTATTATAGCTTTGGTTATACAGCTTCGTGATGTCGTTTGAAGTCTGCTTTATATAATTAGTGACCGTTTTGTGTTGTGCAGTATCATGCATGAAACATTTTTTAATGTGTCAGTCATATTGATCGATCAACTATAACACTTCCAGTGTTGTTTGGAACAAAATATTTTTTGTTATTATTTTAAAACTATTGCTTAGTTGTGCTTTATATAAGTGTTTATTAATGATTGGTTAAAAAAGAAAATAGCACAATACTATTTAACATGTTTAATGAACATGTGCTGTAAATATCCCTAACAAGCATCTTCTGATAGAGTCAAGATATATCTATTAAAACAAGATGATTAATGCAAGTAATCATGGTTTAATTACTTCTCCTGGAAGTTTGCAATTGCGGTATTACTATTTATCTGACTTACAGTTTATATTAATAGACACAAGAAATGTGCAGAGATTATTTACATAAAACGTCCCACCACATTCACATGTCTTACTGCAGTTGTGAAAGGTGTTATAAAAAATATTGCACCTGCATCCTGCACTGTTTAAAATGAAACTCGAACTTTTCACCATTTGAATGTACTCATGTTGGATCGGCCACGATTTCTTGCAAATCTTGTCACGCGTGATATTATATATCACGTGCTGATTGCTGACAACGTCACTACGCTGTCATACTTGCATGGGATAGCTGTGATAGGTGCTGCACAAGCTGCTAGGATGCAGCCAGCTACACTGCTTATTTGGACGGTAGGGTACACATACGGTACAGCCAGGAACAGACGCTACCCAACTTGCCATCCATGTCTTTATGTGACATTAACTCTCTCCGAAACATTACCATGGTTTTTGCGCATGAAAATGACCCAACCTCCTCCACGTGATGTTGAATTTTGCCGGGACATTCTCGTCATCTGGATGCGTACGATGAGTCGCGCGTCATTACTACCAGCAGCGAGCATTGTTCATCGCACCCCACCATGTTGCATTCACACCCTGCACGCTGTGTAACGATCGGTCGCGCAGATCCTTCAACGCTACTGCACTCGCTTGCCCATCCAGAACTTTGGCTTGGGTTTTGTGCCAATGCCGTGGGCTGACCGTCTCAGCTTCTTCCTCTCAGCATGGTGAAGCTCTGCCTCCCGCTGCCGCTCCTCTGACTTTCGGTTCTATAACCAAAGCAAGCACTCTATGTAGACATGATTGCACGCATCCAGAGACGCTTCAAGGCGTGTCGAATCCTTTGTTATTCTACATATAGATGGCAGCACGACTACTTACCATCGGGTTCTCTGTGTGTGAGAATGGGATTAGCTTAACAGTCATAAATCATATAGCAACTGCTCAGGATTCCACATGCAACGTGGGAGGGAATCTTTTGGGGAAATTTTGCTTGTGTGCTTAGTGTATTATCAGGACAACTGACAAGTTCAGATTACAACATTGATGGGCATATCAACTTTTACAATTTTTTACTACTATTGTTAGCTCTTCGTCTGTACCTTTGTTAATGTGTAGGTCATTTCCTGGCTGCCAGCCGAGTGGCCAGCAGATGGCGCCTGTAGATTCTCGTCACTCCGCAGCCTTTCTGCAAGACTGGCCCTACAAGTAAGATTAACCATCGTTAACGCAGTATTTCCCCTGGCCCAAAAGATCAGCGAGGTGGTAAAATTTATTTTGGTGGTTGTGCTATCCGAGGAGTGAGCAACGCCGCTCCGGTGCTCACCGACGATGGTCGCCATGCTAGGGGGGTCTGGGGGCATGCTCCCCCCGGAAATTTTAAAAAAAAAGGTGCAATTTGGTGCATTCTAAGCTATTCTGAACACATATGAGACTCTTGAATCACTTTTTCAAGTTGTCAAAAGGAACAAATAAACTATGAATATGGAATGATACAAGTATTCACATTAAATAGTAATACCGTCGAAAACGAGGCGAATGCCTGGAGCGTGGCAAAGATCTTGAAGCTTACGGTTATATTTATCTTCTGTGTATCAATGATCTTATGAATTTGAAGTTCATACATTTGAAAAATACATAATTCAACCAAAGATTAAAACAATATTATTAGTTAATTCGTTCGATATGCTCTCATTTGCATTAATAATGCTTAACAGCATGAAATGCGATTTTATTTCAACTAAAGCACTTTCCTGGTGTAGAATACAAACGAACACCCATGCGTATGTATTCATAGGTATAGCGCCCTTAATTCGCTGCTGGAGTCAACATGGCGCTCAAGTACGTGACCAATCATCTTCCAAACCTGTGTTTATCTATAGGCCTTGCCAAGATTCGCGTGTTGACAGTACCGTAAGTACGTGGCGATGTGTTTTCGATTTTAGTTCAATAAAGTGTAGTTTATTGATGGAAGAACAGTGATTTTCATCATTGAGGTGTTCTTGAGTGATTTTGATCAGTGGACAAATTTCTGTGTGGCGGCTGAGAATTTGAGCGAGGCGGCCCGCCTCACTCGTGTCAATGCAAGGGAAACACTGGTTAACGCACGTCGCACACCGGCCTGGATTTAAGCGTCGCACTAGGTAGCTGCGTCGACCAACAGAACACTGTGTGTGGCGGCCGGGACAGGAATTGAAATAACGCGAAAGATGGTGGCACGATCTGTGAGCCAAGGAAAGCACGGGAATTAAAATAATGTAGCAGACGGTTGCGCCCTCTGTGTGCCGCGGTGACAGAAAGCGGAACATGATGAGAGAAGCGAGCGAAAGACTCTACAAGCGACGGCGAGAAGAGAAATCTGATTAATGATGACAGACGTCGACACGCATCACCTACAGTAACGTCCTCACCTGCCCACGCCGTCGCCACGACCGCGATCCGGTTAAGCATAGTGACGGACCCCTCCACCCTCGTTGTGCCGCCGCACACCAGCGCCCCCTGGGTATGAACTCTTACCTGGGGTCTGCGGCTCGTTTCGCCCTCGCGTCGCGCAGTCCGTCAAAGTCGCCTCCAGACTTCAGCTCAAAGAACTTCGGCATCAGCTGCGCCTCGCGGTCCTCCCGCTTTCGCTCCAAGTAGGCCTGTTTCCGTAGCAACGCGTGCTGCGTCTTCATCTCGGACGTCCACTGGTGCTCATCATCAGAGCTGCTGTCATCGTCCGACGAGCTGCGCTCGCCAGCTCTCTCCTGTGGTTGGCGTGGGGAAGCATGAGAACACATGAAATGACTAGCAAGTAGTAACCTAGTAGACAGGTACCTACTCTGGAGTGATGGCACTACGTCTTTCAAGAAGAATAGTGCATTCTTTTTGAAGGTTAAACAATACGATAACAAATCGCTAATGATTTAATTTCAAACGTCATGGTTATATTCAACTCTCCTTTTATACCTCAACCTCCTCGAAATAGGACTCCAGGTTGTTATCCTCTTCGTCCTCTTCCTTCTGCTTCCGCTTTGCCTTATCGCGATCCAGCTTTGAGACGACAGGATTAAGGAGTCTGTACTCCTCTGCAGTCTCATCCACTTGGAAGTCTGGATTCTCAAACATTGCCTTAAAGCGATCATCCTTTAGTAGATTTGAAACATTCTGAAAAAATATATACATTTTTAGTGGCAATCCATAACATGCCAGTACCTTGTATACATATGTATACATTGTAGTGTAATTAGGGTTATAAATAAGTACTGCAACATGATTGAAATTAATGTAATTAAATTATATTCATTACTAATATTACTTTAATTATTTAAATTTAATGAATTAGGTTTCATATAATTGAATACACGTGATTCAATTCGTTATAAATGTGGAGTAAAATTCATGGTTGCTGCTATGCACCTGTTTCTTTTTCGTTTTTGTTCCAGAATGTTCACTGTCCAGATCCAACAGCTTTTGAGCAAGCTGCTTGTTGACCTTTGGCAATTTCTGAAAGCAATTATGCACAGCAATTAACGTGCAGCCATCAAATTAATTAACATAACAATAAGCAAGACATGGATGCTTATTTGCTACATGAACCCTGATGTGCATGCTTGGTGTAAAGCGTTTATATAGTCAACAAATACATGAGTATAATCATCAGGACATGAGGTTTTACATCGCTTTCTTGTTGTAGGCTTTTCCACGAAATATGACGCCATAGCTACATCTGCTTTAACTGCCGATTTATTCATTGACTATTGATCACCATCACCATTAATATCCTTATAATATAAGGATATGGTATACGAGTTATATCAATAATATTGCCACTGCCATCACCAGCAGAAGCTGATGTTCATGTCTTACCTTTCTCATAACTCGATTGGCTCTCTCTCCTTCTATCTTCTCTCTGATCTTCTGCTTTCTATACTCTTCAAATGCAAATGGCTCAGCTATGGCCTTTGCCTGTTAGTAAAAATGAGAACATACATATAGCATACAAATACACAATGAGCATGATGAGTGCAATACAATACAATATGCAATGAGTAGCACATGAACAATCAGATATTTTTCTAAACCATTTCTGTTGTTGAGATTTAATCACGTGTTACTACTCAACTGAACTGGAGGGGTTCACCAAAAAGAACTATTTCATAACTGGCCAGATCCTTATTTCCCAATGCACACAAAACACACAAGGAACACAATTGTTGTAACAACAAATAAATTAATTAATGTCTCCTAGCCCACGTAATGTATACCTTATTGTAGAGCCTGATGTCCATGAAAAACCCATGCATATAAGCTCGCAGTAGATTTGTACCAATCAAATGCACCAGACCTAGGCTTTCCAAGTCTTTCTTTGTTACAAATTTGTAGTCATCATACACTAAAAAAACATATACAAATAGGTGAACAGAAAACCTTAAGAATTATGTCAGAGTGTACAGAAGACGATGAAATTCTATGCAATATAATGTGTATATATATATATATATATATATTCATTCAATCATTCCATGTTGTAACATTTGGTGCAGTTAATATTACATTATGGTACTTCAACACTCAGTAGATATCATAGGTATGTGTTAATGACTTAGTGCCACTTAGTGAGATAATAACTGGTGAATAATGTAGCGTGATGGGTGAGCCATTGCAGAAAGTTCTGGACACGCGTCATTACAGACCATGCACCTGGTTTTACCTGTGGGGGTTGGGTTTTCCTCAAGTTCCTCGGTCAAGTTATCTAGGAAGCCACACCACTTTGGTGCAGGTCCTAATGCCTATACACAAAACATATTTGCTATTACATCCTGTACTGTTTTTTTTATCTACACCCTAGACTTATTTATTAAAAACCAGATTAGTTGATTATTTTTAAAAGCAGCAAAGCCATGACATCACTCTCTTATGGTACAGTGTATCATACATTCTCACTATAAACAACACAATTAAACATTCCTAGCACATGTATCATTTAAATAAGACTTATGCTGCAGATATAATGTAAATAGTATGCGTAAACATATTTATCCATAATTAACGGTGGTTAACCATAGATACATTTGCACTCACAGGTATGTAATATGTTTGTAACTTTGGAGCTTCATTGGCGAGGAACAGAAGGCCAGACCTAGGTACGACACACATGTCATTGAGATCCGTCTCTGGTTCAATCGACGTGAATGCCTTGCCCTATGAATCAGTGACCATATTATATGAATCTTATAAACTGTTCATCAACATATGCATTGTTGTATCACCAAACACACTCGGTACATATGCACATTGTATCATGAGCAAACCACTGTACTGTTTGTTATTCATGGATGCACCAGTGAGTCAGTTATTCATCTCTAACTGCAAGTACCAAAGACACCAAGCAATGCTATGGCATCAGTGGCTTGCATGCCCTATTAGAAAATATGATTGAAAGTTTATCTATGAGAATGGGTCAAATGAAATAATCCTGGAACTCTGGCAATAATTCAATGACATTCTGACACATAAAACTATTTTCGTTGCAAGTGTTTATTTTTGTCATTGATGGAATGTGCAGTGGGCGTACACCTAACACCTGCATTTTTATCGGCACTAATGGGTACCACAGAATCTCTTGAACTACTACTATTAACTCAAACTTATTTTCTTGTTTTTTGACAAATAATCACTCGTAATAATAATATATTATTCATAACATACCGTGCGCTGATTCCAGATCTTGACAATATGTGTATCAACGGATACGCAGAGATCAAGAGCAGAGTGGAAGGCTATACTTTTTATGGGTAAACCATACTGATGGTCCTTAACCAGTAACGGTTTATCCGAGCGGATATCATACAGCAGCACCTGTGTATACAGAATAGTAATCATAATAAGTAAGGGAATATACAGGTATGTACAGTATGTACAATATACAGGTTTAACAACAAAGTCAGACACAATTTCAATTGGAGCGACGTTTAACTTCATCATACAATTGAGGATGGAAATCCTATGTGTATGCACACATCGCACGTTCTTCACTGCTTACAGGCTTATTGTTGGTACACAACTGAACAGTACACACGGGAAGCATTGCCATTTAGTTGCGTTTGTGCATGATTCCCAATTTCCAGGGTTGGATATCAGGAGCACCTAAATCGAATTCAAGAGTATTTGGACCAAAACACTCATGTGTTAACCCCCGGCTTCAGCCAGTGAAGCGTGAATGACACTAAGTGACTGCCCGATAATGATAGCGTCATCATCCTACCTGCCCCGTACTTGTGCCAACAGCCATCGTGAGTCCGTCCTTATATGTCAGTGCAGTCACCGTTGGAATGCCATCTACCCTGGAAGGCAACGGCAATTAGGGAGGTCTATCAATTGTATAGAGCCATCAGATTAAGCATATGTACACGACGACTGCAACAACCATGCATGCGAGGCCGGCAGAATCACTACAGCATCTGTCAGAAGGGTCTTGCTGCATTCTAGAGTAAGGCTGCTACTAGACTGAATAAAAGTGCTTCACATAGCACACGACAACTGTGAAGATGCTGGGTAAACCTGCTGTCTCTGCCTAGAATTAATCCCTGCTGAGGAAAATGCTTAAACGCATAGATCACGAGTCCAGTGAATAGCTGCTCATCACTAACCCTATAGCCGTGGTCTAACTTGTCCCTACGAATACTTACTCTGTGTCTACCTCCATGCCACTCAGTGCACAATCCAGAATGCCGACTCGGCTTCTCATTCTGGGGTCCCAGCACTCTACTCTACCCTGGAATACAAGAGCGTAAATCACTAACAAATACCACAAACGATATTGCACGTAAACTATCAATAAAACCTATTCTATGCATACTTCAAAATTTCACGGTTAACCGACCTTAGAATGCAACAATAATACAATTTGGGGTGCGTCTAATGCATTGGCATGCCTTATGAACCACATAATACAGTATTTCAGAATGAATGAGCACTACTTGATTTACTCACAGGTAACTAAGCTAAAAGCCATATATACCTCGTTTGTTCCTACAGTGAAAAGTTGATGGACAGGGTTGAATAAACATACATTGTTTGACCTAGAAAAACAACGACAACTGTGAAAACAATGCATTCCATCTATACTACTACAAGAACCAATTCTGTCTGTCTGACTGTCTATCTGCTACGCATTCCCCCCCGTTAGGTTTTGATGCCCATACCGTTATGTGGTCATCAATTGGGGCGCCTAAGCACATTTAGATCATATCTAGAGCAAAATATCATATAGAAATACCAGATTTCACAGTGCATAGCATATAACACATGTACAGCGGCGGCCATTGCTACGCACCGGAGTTGCCCACTGCGGCTGACCTAGAGGTCACGGCGGCGTGGGGACGGCGTGCAGTTGTTACGGCTGCAAATATTTTGGTAGCGAAAGCAATCCAGGCAATGCGGGCTCCCCCACTAGTTCATAAAGCATTACCTGCCTCTGTCTAGTCAATGAAGAATTCAGCTTTATCATGAGCCAAGCCAGAGGTGTTATTAAAATCGAGGGTCATTGCTAAACCTACTACCACCATGATGACACTATGATATGTATACTCACGATGCATTTGTCCTGAGTGGGGTCATGAATCGCCCTTGTTCCAAATTAAGTCTAAATATATCAGCACTAAAATGAAATAAACCATTACAATATATAGTACTGAATAACAGCAATAGGTAGTACATGCATGCAATCAGCTGTTCTCGATCACTCTCGCTAGCTCTTGGGCTCACTCCCTCTCTTGCCCCCCCCACCCTCTCTCTCTCTCCCTCTCTCTGACACACACACATGCACACACGCACGCACGCACGCACGCACGCACGCACGCACGCACGCACGCACACACACACACATATAACACATTTGACATTAGGGTACAAATTCTGAACAAGAGAACCTGGAAATTTACCTGGCTCCAACAAAATAGAGATCACACGATGGATAATGATATGCCAAGTCCCGACCAAACTTTGGAATACGCAATCTGAAGTACTTTCCATGCTGAGCATGAACCTCTATGTAGCGATCACACTGCAGAAACACGACCTGCAAGAAAGAAAGGTAAGGGCATAGACCTAGAAGCTTCTCACTCTATAAGGTACCACAAAGCGGTCATAGATTATATCAGCTTCGACAGAAAAAATGAAATTCTTTAACTAGTCAACATGGTGCATGAGCACACATGATCGCATACATATGATATTACGTACACAAGCACGAGAACAGGAATGTACATATCAGTGTTCGAAATAAGGGCTATCCGTTTGTCCTCACTCTCATTTCCACGGAGGACAAGTAGACCTGTCCAGTAGCTTATCCGCTAGACAAGCAGCTTTTTTGAGCAACTGTTTAGAGCAATTTTTCATCATTTTCTACCATTGCTTCAACTTTGTTAAGGCAAGTAATAACTTAAAACAAATAATTGTGCTTCTTTATGTTCTTTCAAGCTTGGTGCCTAATTTGAACTGTTAGTGAACTGTATTAAAATTACAAAGTAAGATATTGGGTCTAAAATTTAATTTGATTAAACAGTTAAATGTATTACACATTTACTATATTTTTATGTTATTAATCAGGACAAACAAAAATTTTGCAGGACAAGCAAAAATATCTTGAAGCTTGTCCGTCAGACAAGCAAAATTTTTATTTTTATTTTGAACACTGCACATATGTGTATCGTATGAGATGGAACACTGGTTACCTTTGAGTAATCTTCAGACAGGACTTCAAATTGAACAACCTCAGCATCGAAACATCGCTCAAACTTCATTGACAGCTGATTAACATCATAGCATCTCACCCGCGGCTTATAAACACCTGGTGATACATTAATATAAATCAAACAGGAGACCAGTAATGCTTGCTTTTTTTTAATATCAAAAAGGTAGTTGAGCACAGATAATTGCTACAATTTTAGTTACTTTATAAGTAATTATGAGTACAACACCTAGACAAAATGACCAATTACATTGTAAATAAAACCAATATGTGGCTCAGGACATTATTAGCTAGGGAAACATTAGAACAATAAAATTACGAAATAAAACTATTCGTTTTTTTAATAATCAATATCATACATATATCTACATAACTACAAAAGAAGGCATGCAGTTTATTCACCATGAGATTTTCAAAGAACTACTGTATTACACAGTTCTTCAGTTGTACTAACAATAGATGCACAGGTCACTCGGGGTGTACATCAAACAGCTGTGACATTGTACAGTAGAAGCATTCATACCCTCAGGGCTCGAATTAAGCGACGAGAAGGGCAAGGCAATTTTTTTAGGGCATGTGAGAAATCGCTTTGAATTTTCTATAAAATGGAAGGGCACAGAGGCAATTTTAAAAGGCACCAAGGCAACTCTCAAAATTTGAGAAGGGCACCAAGGCACTTTTGTAAAATAAAGGAAAACTCATAACAAATTAGTACATCAACATAGTCTTGCTTTTAATGTACAAAACAATATGCCCCCAAGTAAGCTTACACCGTAACACTGACCCCTGTACCCCCCTCTGCTAATGGAAGTACAGTAACAAGAAATTTTACATGCCCGCTATCAGGAGCGAATAATTCTCCGATGCTGTTATTATTCCCTCCTGCGACTATCGGTTTCAAGCTCATCATTGCAACTACAGCACACACGCGCGCACGTTATGTTGACTCGACTAAAAACGAAACTAGGGCAGTAGATTAAACGGCACTGACGGCAATTACACAAAAGGGCAAGGCAGGTGAGACTGCCGTCGGTGTTGTCGGTTAATTCGAGCCCTGTACCTGTTGTCAAGATGTACTGTTCATCACGTGTTACTTGCACACAGTTGCTAACCGCTGGCATTTCAAAGTCTTGGATTAGTTCAATCCTTCGACGAACATCTAGATTCAAAGAAAAAATTGTAATATACATTATAGTGCTGCATATGAAATAGTTATCTAAACATAGATTCATGAGGATAGTTTCATTGATACAAGTTTAGAGTGTGCACAAGCTTCTTCAATTTAGGTTGTAATCTGTGGTTGACTTTGAGTTATATAATGTATGTAATACTAATAGGTGTTTGGAAATCCATGCACATACAATACACTCACTGTACCAGTCAGTATAGCGCAAAGTTGTTGATCCCGTTTAGCAGGCAGAACGAAAATACCATACACAACACCTGGATTTACAAGTAAAACTTTATGTATGCAGTTTACATGCTCTCCAGATGGGGGCTGCATCATTTTGTGATATATAAATAGCAAGCATAATGTGTATTTGCACCAAGTGACATTACCAAGGTCCTGCTTCTGCAGTTGTCGTTTTTTTCTGTCCGATAGCCACTGAAATTATAAAGCCATAATTAATTACAAATAATATTATTATGATTATATTATGGAGGGCGCGACAAACCAGCCCTGGTGCCGGGGCAACCAGGTGGCGGGCATGGAAACTCAGATCTTATTAAGATTCGTAATTGCACGGGCAAGCATATTTTATTGAATATCTAGACACAATGATATTTTTTAGTTACACTTATCATGCGACTTATGACTTATGCTGAGAGGGTTTATGTCCTCCGGGGTACTGCCGGAGCGTACCCTGGATACGGTCCGGTCTACCGGAACGTACCTTGGTACTATCTAATATGCCGGACCGTAC